AAACCCAACAACCAAAGTGTAGTCTTGTCCTTCTGCACAGGGAATCAGTCATGAGTGAGGGACTCTGACAAGAAGAAGTAAGCTGAAGTGCAACGCTGCCCTGGGAGAAAATACCCAATACAAGGCAAATTTCCAGATAACCTGTGGAAGTAAAGGGACGGGAATCAATACAAGATATGGCTTTCTAGCTGGATGAACCAAAAACACCTCTGTTCTCAGAGATTTGGGAGCCTACATAAAAATCTGCATGTCAATAATCAATAGATGAACACATACATGCACATACACACGTGCGCACACACACATTCATCAGAAAGATCCTTGAGAAAACAAAGGTTCCATATTGGCTAACAAGCAAAATGAACGCCATCCAAACTCCACTCAATGAAGCCACTCACAGGAGACACCACAGACCAACAGTGCCCGTCCGCCTACACTTCCAAGAGGAGTTGTCTGTAATTGCGGGTGTCATTCTTGTTTATGGGGACACCCTATAAGCAACACTTCCACTTGAGAACAGCAGATGGCTCATTGTAAAAACTTAAAGTTATCTGAAAGGCAAAAACAAAAGTTGATTTGCAGCAAGTTTTTTTTTTTTTTTTCCAGTCCTGGGGCTTGAAGTCAGGGCCTGGGCTCTGTCCCTCAGCTTCTTTTACTCAAGGCTAGCACTCTATCACTTGAGCCCAGTGCCACTACTGGCTTTTTCTGCTTATGTGGTACTGAGGAATCGAACCCAGGGCTTCCTGCATGCTAGGCAAGCGCTCTACTACTAAGCCACATTCCCAGTTCCTGTAGCAAGTTTTTAAAAATTAGAGACTGAGAAAACTTTAATGAAATGACTGGTTATCAGCCAGATGCCTACAACTCGAAATGTGCTGTGGCCTCACACACCATCAGATTACTGGTGCCGTCTACACAGATAGCAACGGTCCCTGAATCCCTCAGGGGAAGAGATTCCACAAACAGGAGATGCATCAGAGTTGAGTGCAACATTTCCTTTTATACAAGGAGGAACAGAACACACTGAGCTCAGCTCTGGCCGGATTTATGAGACATCACAGCAACTACCAAAGAACCACAGCCTATTCCTAACAGCCACCAAGGCTTTGCCTCCTTGCCTAGAGGAAGTCAAGCTATCAATTAGATTAGTCAGCACATCTTTGGAACCATCTGCTGAGGGCTTGAAATCTTCTGTAATAAGATGTAATAAGCCTATGTAATAAGCCCCCATTACCCCCTGACTACCTAGCATTTCCTACCCTTTGAACAACAACCTGTTATTTCTCCTTCTCCTTACACCTGTCAGTGTAATATTCATGACCTAGTACTTCTGTCATTCTTAGCGAATGAAGAAGAAAACCTCATGATTCATCTCTGTAGTTGAGGTGATCCCACCTCAAACGGAAATTTGATAGTCCAGAGCCAAATTCCAAATAAATGTTGTTTGCAAGATGAGTATTATATCAAAGATAACAAGACAACACCAGTTTGACATGTAAATTGTCTAGTCTGTCTTGTAGTTTTCTTAGAAGAAGCTGAGCACAGTGGAAACTACGTCTCTGCCCAGGGCATATCTACTTATTAAAAAGATGTATATAAAGTAATAGCTAGAGCAGCTCCAGGATAATTCACCTGTGCTATATGCAAAAGAAACATCTTCTTTGGGTACCTAAGAATAAATAAGGAATGTAAGTTACTTGGTACCAAATAATAATTCAACAATTCAAATCTGAGGCCTTCAGGGACCCCCAGAACAGATGCATGAATCTGCTATGTCAAGAACCCTGGGGTTGGCTGGATGGGTTTGTGAATTTTGGAGGACACTTGCCAACAGAACATGTACTACTTTTCTAAAATGTATCACATCTTCTGTACAGGACTCTCCATCCCGTGCTCAAATAAAGCTCCTCAAAGTCATCCCAGGAAACGAGTATACTGTCAGTCAGGATGTAAGCTCAACTGTTCCAAGATCTGACTCTCCAATACCTCCAGTGGACTGTATCTCTTTACAGGGAGCCCCCAAAGAGCACTCTTCCAGAGCATTCCATCCATCTATCAGACTTAGATAAACAGAGGTCATTATTTTGTGAACAGTACCTAACTGCCCAGAAAATAAGAGCAAGAATGAGCCAGTAGGAAGAGTTTCCACACAGCAAAAGAAACAATTACCAGAACCAGGATTCAATCCACAGAGTGGAAGAAAACCTACACTGCTATTCAATGAATAACAGATTCATATCCAGAAAACACAAAGAACTCAAAAGATTAAACCATAAAAGAATAAAGAATCTCGTTAATAAATGGGCAAGCAAATTGAAGAGACAGTTACAAAAGAATATAAATGGTTAATCGACACATGAAGAAATCCTCAGTATCTCTAGCCATAAAGCAAAAGCAAATAAAAAACCCCACAGATATTGATGAGGAGACACTGTTGATAGGAATGTGAACTTGTGCAACCACAATGGAATCAGATCCTCCAGAAGCCGACACCACAGCTACCTTATGACACCACCCACCCCAGACCATTAATGGGTGTGTATCCAAAGGAATGTAAGTTGGTACACAGAAGAGCTCCTGCACGCCTGTGTGTATTGCAGTGCTGTTCACAATAGCTAGTCTGTGGGATCAGCCAACAGATGAATGGATTAAAGAGTGAAAACACAAATACCATGGGATTCCACAGCCATAAAGAAAATGAAATTATGTCCTTTGCAAGGAAGCAGCTGGAAGTGGAGATCAGCAAGTTGAATCAGATAATCAAACCCCAAAAGCCAGATACCACAGGCTTTAGCTCATTTGCAACATCTGGACTTTGAAGTCAAACATATACACATACACATGCACACATATACACAGGCAGATCACAACTGGTTCAGGAGAAAGAGGTGGAGGAGAGGGGGATAGCATGGTGAAGGGGGAATAGCATCAAAATACATCATGTCTATTTATGAAGATGGCATAAAGGATCTTATCGAAAGTGGGTAGGGGCGAGGAAACAGAGAAAGGGAGTTATTAAGATATAATATATGCCAAATACCAAGCAATATAATCATTGTAAATAATACCTACATTGGCTGACATAAGAAATTATGCAGTCCAGGAAGTGGTGCTGTGGCTCAAGTGGTAGAGAGCTAGCCTTGCATGCATGAGGTCCTGGGTTTGACTCCTCAGCACCACATAAACAAAAATAAAAAAGCCGGAAGTGGCGCTGTGGCTCAAGTGGTAGAGGGCTAGCCTTGAGCTGAAGAGCTGAGGGACAGTGTTGTCCAGGCCAAGAGTTCAAGCCTCATGACTGACAAAAACAAAAAACAAAACAAAATCCTAATCCATATATTCATGACTAATAGTACCACCATACATTTTTATTAAATGCAGAGTAGAATCATTTGGAAACAAAACCTCAGCTGGTAAAGAAACAGGAAAGGAGTGATATGGTTTCCCTAGGTAACTCTGGGAGTTGGTGATAGAACTGCATTTAGAAACGACACCCACTGCTTCAGAGCTAGGAGGAAGCCTGGTTTGTAATTAACCCTTCCATAGAACGTAAGACAGAGGCAGCCCCGATTATATCTAGAGCTGTGGGTAGAGGCCTTGCAGAGCCAAGAGAGCTCTTCTCAAAAGTGATTGGGCAGAGAGAAAGAAGAAACTGGTGTGTGTGTGTGTGTGTGTGTGTGTGTGTGTGTGTGTGGAGAGAGAGAGAGAGAGCACGAGAGCACACACACATGAAAGGGATCATAACACTTTGCTTCTGCTATCATGAAAGCAGAGAAATGAAAACAAACCTTATCTTTCCTTTCACAACAGGGCCTGAGAGACAACTGTGATTGGTTCCCTTCTCCCTGGTAGAAAATGATTTCTGTGGAAGGGGTGGTGCAGGTGGCTGCTTCTCATGCCCCTCACGCCCGTCCCCTGCAGTATGGGCGGACTTGCACAGGGACCCCAGCTCTGAGCACTAGCATTCTTACCCATTAACACGCCTGTTTGGTACAGAGATTAAATAGGCGAGAGTTTTCAAAACCCAGCTCTGTGGACATCTGAGCCAAGCATTCTCTGTTGCAGGTGCCGCCCTGTGTTGTATGGGCTGGGCGTGTTAGAAGCCGCCCGCATGCCATTCCCCACGGCTTCGCTGCCAGATGTGCCTCTGGTCAGTCCGCAGGTTCTAAACCAGCCTTGGCTGTTCTAGATAAAAGGGCACGTAGCCCTTTCTCTTCTCTCTTGGAGAATGATGTGCTGCCCTCCTCTCCTAAATACACTTCTGGTCCCTCTAATCTTATGTGACTGGGCATGTTCAGAATTAGCTATATTTCAGAGCTCACAGAGGAAGCTTGTGACCTCGCTAGACTGAAGCCTGTGTGGAGAACACTCTATCACTATTATTATTTTACTATTGAACAATACTCATCCAATGCCCTTAGTTAGTGCACTAGCCATATTAACCGATAACGGAACCTGGGGGGCCAGCCGGAGCTGGATGCGGACGGCTTCCAACCTGGCTGGGATGGGAGGACTTCCGGTGAAAGCCAGCCCGGGCGGAAGGATGCGTGTCTCCAGTTGGCTAGCGAAAGAGCTGGTGGGACTCCTGCCCAGCCCCAACACCAGCAAAGCCAAGACGAGACAACCGCAAAAAGTCCGTCCCATGTCTATCTAGAAATCAAGCCTCAAGACGCGACGCGCCCTTCGATCGGAGAGGAAGCGGTGAGCGCGCGGCGGCCTCTCCCCAGCGGCCTCTCCCCAGCGGCCTCTCCGGAGCTCCACTTACTTTCTGTTTCCTTTTTCTTATTTTTTCGTTTTGTTGTATTTTTTTGTTACCCGTCCCGAGGCTTGGATCAGGGCGTGGACACTGTGCCTTAGGGTTTTCTGTGTTTTGGGTTTGTGGACATGAGGCCCGGGCGCCCGGCTAGAGCGCACGGAGGAGCTGTGCACAGAGCCGGAGCCCGCGCCCGCGCCCGCGCCCGCACAGGGCAGGGCGGCCGGGGTCACGCCGCGCCCGCACCCACCTGCACAGCCTCGGGCAACGACGACACGCTGTTGGTCTTCTTGGCGCCCACGCGGAGCCTGGCGGCCTTGTAGATCTTCCAGTACACGAAGAGCACCACGCAGAGCGGCAGGTAGAAGGCGCCCACGGTGGAGAACACGGTGTAGGAGGGCTCGCGGCTGACCTGGCACTGCGCGCTGCGCTCCGAGTACGTCTCCCCCCAGCCGAAGAGCAGCGGGGCCAGCGAGATGACGGCCGACAGCGCCCAGGTGAGCGCGATCATGGCGTTGGAGGTGCGCCTGCGCGCGCGCAGCGTGTACTCCAGGTGCCGCGTGGTGGACCAGTAGCGGTCCAGCGCAATGGCCGTCACGTTCCAGATGCTGGCCGTGCAGCAGAGCACGTCGCACACCACCCACAGCTGGCACAGCCGCCGGCCCAGCTGCCAGCGGCGCCCGGCCAGCTCGTGCGCCAGGCTCAGCGGCATGACCAGCGCGGCTACCAGCACGTCCGAGACGGCCATGGACGCCACCAGGTTGTGGGGCACACGGTGGAAGGTGCGCACGCGGAGGATGGTCGCCAGCACCAGCAGGTTCCAGGCGAAGGTGGCGGCCACCAAGAAGCCCAGCAAGGTGAGGGCCAGCACCCCGAAGACCGAGAGGAAGGGCACGTCGTGGTGTGCGGCATAGGCGTCCCGGCTGCCGTTGGGCTCCAGAGAGGGCACGGTGCCCAGGAGTGAGGAGGTCAAGTTCGCAGTCAGGTTCATGGCTGGGGCTGGGGCTGGGCTCGGAGCCCTGGCGTCTGCGAAGAGCGTGCTCGGCCCAGGTGGCGGGGTCCGCCCCAATCTGAGGGCTCCCAACAGCTGGCGAGGGTTCTGGGACGGTCCCGATCCAGCGGGTTTGGCCCCCACCTCCTTGGGGCGAGCGTCCCGGGGAGATGGCGCGGAGAGGAGGGATCCGGACTGAGGGGCTCCGGGCGGAAGGGCGGAGGGGTGCTGAGCTGCCTGGAGCCCTCACCGGTCACAAAAGCCGGCAACCCGTGCCGCAAGGCCCGGGCCGGGTCCTCACCTGGGGGCCCGGGTCCTCTCCGGGGCTGCGGCTGCGGTCTGGCGGCTCAGAGCCGAGCGTCGGCGGGGCGGTGGGGCGGGCCGTGCGCGGGTGCCCGGAGCCCCGCCACCGCGTCAGTCTTGATCTCCAGGCTGCTGAGGCTAGGCGCTGCAGAAGCCAGGCGGGTACCTGCTTCCCGCGGCTTCCTGCACCCGGCCCATCCGAGGCTCCGGAGAGCAGACCCACCCGGACCAGCCTTCTCTAAGTGGGCATCAGGCCTACGTAAGCCGTCAGCTGACAGCTGCAGCTCCCGCCCCCCCCCCCCCGCTGCCCGCGCCCCGCCCCGGCTCCCCAGCTCAGGCTTACCCTGGTGGCCTGGGGGGTTCCTGGTTCCGACCTAAGCACCTGAGCTTGGGCCCCTGTCCGTGGTGCTGGCGGAGGGAATCGCGTGGTGCTGTCCACGGTCCTGAGACTGTCCCCGAACTGTGTTCTCTCCATGGAACAAAGCGAACTTTCTTCACCCTTCCTCCAGTCCCCAAACAAGCCTCTCTGAAGGCGACCTTGAGCAGTGGCTGGGCCTCCTGCGCGGAGTGCGCTCTGCTTCGTGGCTGGGCCGGGCCTCCCGCGCGCCGTATGCTCCACACCCCACCGTGGCCGTGCGCTCCGCACCGTGGCAGTGCGCTCCGCACGGTGGCCGTGCACTCCGCTCTGTGGCCGGGCCTCCTGCGCGCCGTGCGCTCCGGTCCGCGCGCGCGCGCTGTGCTCTCCGCACGGTGGCCCGGCTGGGCCTCCTTGGCGCGTTGTTGTAAGTGCTCAGAACTAGGGGTCTAGGCATGTTGCTAGCTTTTCTTCTCCACATTTCAAGACGCGATCGTGTCCTCCCTCCACAGCACTCCGTTGCTTCCTTATTTAAAGAGTCGTTTCCCCTAGAGGAGACAGGGGAAGAGAGCGTTTGTGCTGCCTCCAGAGATGGCTGAGGGCTGGAGCTGGGTGTGTGGTGGCTTTACTCGTCTGTCCTGCACGGGAGCCATTCGCAAGTTGTTATGAAAACTGCGCTGGGCTTGGTAATTCCCCCACTCCACGTGCCAACAGCCACTCGCCGCCCAGCGTGCGAGGAAGCCACACGAAGCCTCACCCGACCTGTTGGTGGTTTGCTGTTTCCAGTGTGCGTGTGGTGTGGATGAAGCCCAGGGCTTTGTGGTGCTAGGCAAAGTCTCTGGCTCTGAGCTCCATCTCCTAGCCTGAGAAAAGGGGTCTGAAACACCTCATTGGAGACACACAGTGCAGCCAGAGAGAAAGAGCTGGAGTAAGGGAAATTAGTTGACAGAACGGAGAGTGGGACAGCATTAAACGTGTGAGCGCCAGGACTGGGGTCTGGACTTAGGACACACACACTCTCATTTGCTCAAGGCGAGCACTCTGCCACTTTCAGCATTTTGCTCATTAATAAGACTGGTTTGGAACCCCAATTCTCAGATCTCTACTTCTTGAGTCATGAGGATCTCAGGTGTGAGCCACTGGTGCCGGCTGGAAGTATTTTTTTTTTCTTTTACAACATTATGTTCCTGACTTTCTGAACGCAGAAATCCCTCCCCTGAGGCAGGGTGAGGGGGGGCGGAGAGTGGGATCACGACAGGCTGGTGAGAACGTTATTCCTTAGCTACAGCTTCACTAGCCCCCGTGCTAGCAGGGAACAGGGCTGCCACCTGCATCCCTGGTGGGGAGGCAGATGTGATTACTTCTTGGAGTCCTGCTCCTGTCAGTGGGAAAGAAATGTGAGCGATAAATCCTCTTCAGAAAAGAACTGCTAAACAGTTCTTGCATCCAGTTGCAGGGTTTCCCGGAGTGGGGAAACGGTGAGCCGCAGGCCCTTAGGTGAGCCTCCGGAGTCTCTCCCCTTGAATCCTGGCAGACATCCAGGGCTTCCTCTGAGTGCTAGGCAGCAGAGCAGAGCCCCCTGACATGAGCTGGACAGATGACCCCCCCCCAAGGGACCCAAGTTTTACTGTGAAGCTTTACTGTCCTATGTTAGTCAATCTTTTTGTTGCTGCTGTTGTTCCTATGACAAATACCTGAGAGAAATGATTTAAGAGGAAGGCAGATGCATTCAGCTTCCTGTTTCCAAATGTCTCAGCCCATAGCTGGCTCATTGCCTTCAGGAATGTGGCAAGACATCATAGCAGAGGACAGAGCTAACGACACCGCAGCCAGGAAGCACGGGCAGCAAGCTGAGGACCAGGACAACTCAGAGCCCTTGAAGGCCTGCTCCAGAGCCCTGATCTTTCCAAAATTCCACCACCCTCCCAAATGGCTAGTGCAAAAAGGATGTGAGTGTGTGTGTGTGTGTGTGTGTGCAAATCTGTCTATCAATCTTCAGGTTTAAGCTGTCCTTGAGCGTTTTTATTCCAGGCAGGCGCCTTACCAGGTGAGCCACTTCCTGCTTTTGGGTGGTTAATTGGAGATAAGAGTCACACGAACTTTACTACCAGGGCTGCCTGGTAGTAAAAGTGAAATCCTTAGATCTCACCTGCTGGATAGCTGGCACTGCAGGTGTGAGCCACCAGCACCAAGTTAGTTTCAATTTTGAATCCATCAATAGATTCAGCCACTGAGCAGATCTGATCTGAGCCCACATGCTCTAACTGTCTCTGGAAAAGCCTTCACAGACACACTCAGTGGTCTGCTTTACTCATTGTCTAGGTATTCCTCTGTCCAGTGAGGTGCACACTCGAGATTAGCCACCACACATCATAAAACCAGGAGCTGAGTAGAAAGTCCCTGCAAGGAAGAGGTGCAGTGATGTCTTTGAAGAAGACGTCTGTCACTAATGGCGTCACAGTGAGTGATCAGCACACTACCTTCTGGTGTGTGTGCTGGCCTTGCACTCAAGGTTGTCACTCTACCACCTGAGCCACAGCTCCACACCCAGCTGTTTGTTGGTTATCTGGAGATAAGAATATCACAGTCTTTTCTGCCTAGGCTAGCTTTGAACCATGATCTTCAAAGTTCAGCCTCCTGAGTAGCTAAGACTGCAGGTGTGAGCTACCAGTGGCCAGCTACATTATGACTTCTTTTTTGTTGTTGCTGTTGTCATGGGGCCTGAACTCTGGGCCTGGGCACTGTCCCTCAGCTCTTCAGCTCAAGGCTAGCACTCTACCACTTGAGCCACAGCGCCACTTCTGGCTTTTTCTGCTTATGTGGTACTCATGCATGCGAGGCAAGCACTCTACCACTGAGCCACCTTCCCAGCTCCTATATTACGACTTTTCATCTTGAAGCTTGAACACAAGTTTAGTTGTAGCTAATTTAAAAAGTTGTGGAATGCTCACCTCCTCACAGCCCCCCTAGAATGGTGGTGGGGATGGGTTTCCAGGTTTAATGCTGGCTTTGAACTGGGCTATGTCCCTGCTTCATACAGCCCTTCAGATCTGTGTTAAAGTCTGGATTCCCAGAACCTCCGACTGTGATTATATGTAGAAATATATATTTTTTAAAGAAGATTGTTTTTATTTCTTGAAAAAAACCAAGAAGCTATGCAGGCCAGACTAGCCTCAAATTTATGACCCCTGCTTCAGCCTCCCAAGTGCTGGGATTATAATATTCACACCATGCCTGGCCTTTTAAAGAGGTGAAGTTAAAATCAGGCTGCTAGGAGGTCCCTCATCCCATCTGACTGATGACCTTACAGGAAGTGGACATTTGGATCGCAGCAGGTGTGCAGGGGAGACCCTGGCTATGGAGCCCTGCGGGGTGCTAGCTTTCAAACACCAGCCCCTCCATCCACGGTGCAGTCCATCTTCTTCCTGGCCATAACGCCTGGGCTGTTCTTGTCACCGTTCTACACATGGGGAAAAAAGTGGACAGTCGGGATGCCTCCCTGGCTCTCCTGCCATTCTTCATTACACTTGGGACACAGAGTTAGAAATAGCCAAGAATGAGGGGACGTGGGGAGGTGCTTCTGATCTTTGTGATTTCTGAGGACAGTTATTGGACAGATAAAATTCTGTTTCCTCCAAAGTCTTACGTTGAGTCTCTGCAGCTAGTGCAACGGTGCTGCAGATAGAGATTTAGGAGGTAATTCTCCCAAATGAGGCCTGAAGGGAAAGGACATCATATGCACACCTGGGAGGAGAGAGGGAGAGAGTGGGAGAGGGAGGGAAGGAGAGCGGGAGAGGGAGAGAGAGAGAGAGAAAGGGAGAGGAAGGGGACAGTGAGAGGGAGAAGAAGGGGAGAGGGAGAGAGAGGAAGAGGAAGGGGAGAGGGAGAGAGAGAGG